AAGTCATACAAAACCAGTTCATCTTGGTCTTGTTTTGTATAATCTTTTCACGCATTCGACGATCAGTTTATACTGGTGTGTGTAGCTTAATGTGAAGTTGTGTGTACATGAAAATAAACAAGTGTCGCACACTGTAACAAGTTAATTACATGTGTAATGAGCAAACTGTTTCAACTAAACGTTTTGGAGTGGAACATTGTTGTTGAATAAAAGTAAAATTATTTTCCTTTAGGTTGAAGTGTTGCATTACTATAAAAGTTGCATATGTGACGACTGAGTAAAATACATTAGTCACACTTTTTTTTGAGGGGGTTAAATTATCCTCTGTCTTCTCCCGCCCAGATGAGGCGAGAGAGAGTGTCAGACTCTTACTGACTAAAAACCACCCCGTTCCTACAACTGCACTTCGAGACGGAGCCCCAGCAGCCCGTTAAGTCTTCCGCGGATCCATATCCGCATCAGCCCTATTGGGCCCCAACTGTGGTGGTCTGGTGGCTCTTTGAGGCGCCGCGCCGTCCGCCGCCGCTTACGGTGGCCGAAAATGGTCACGCAGTCTCCGATGCCCGCAGTGTCTCTCGCGACGGCTGGGGCGACTGGTCACCCCTAAACCTTTTGGATTTGGACTTCAAATTTAACAGATTCGCGCTTCACTGATGGACTGACTGACAGACTATTATTTATTTTGTATTTGTTGACGTTTCAAAAGTACCACTGCCTCATTGCTCGAGTGATCGCACTTGCGACTGCCGGGCAAGGGGTCTCGGGTTCGATTCTCGGGTCGAGCAAAGTATTACTGGGTTAAAAAAAAACTCAGTAGTAGCACGGAGTCTGGAATTGTGCCCGGTATATGGCAATAGGCTCACCCCCTATTACATGGGACTCATAACATAAATAGTGAAAAGTGGGTGTTACATTGTACAGAGACATAATGTGCACCTCTGCATACCCCTTCGGGGATAAATGGCGTGATGTTATGTTATGTGTTCAAAAGTACCAAATTATGGTTTAATTGAAATAAATGCTTTGACGTTGACTTTATGAACGTAGACCGTAAGTAAATACTAGTAGGAACTTAAATCTCGCAACAGTCACGAAACCCGACTCCTCACATAAAACTTGCTTTACATCTCTCTTCTTAATTTACAAAATTAAATTCCTGTCTCCAATAAGAATACAAACTTGAAACAATACGCAATGAATCCCTAGTTTTCTCGTTAACGTTCCCAACTAAGCTAATTTAAGTTTAAGCTAAAAGTGGGTTTAGTACAAAAGCGGTACAAACCTCACGATATAATAATGAACTAAAGAATTTTCTTTGAACCATTTTGAATGTTCTTTTGACATCGCTTTTTGTTAATAATTTGTTTTTTGTGTCTTCTTCTCAACTTAATTGAGATCTGAATCTGATCTGAATCTGGTTAACGCTTAATACTGATTAAGCGTTAACCAGATTCATTGAATAATTTTTGCAAGGAAATGACTGCCTTCCTTCTTCCACACTGGTGGGAATCATGGGCCGACGTTTGGCCACTATCATGCCCGGTGGTAAAATGATGATGCGGTCAACGATAGAGCACGTCGTCCCACAAGCAACCTATTCACTCGGCAAAGAATTCCACTACTTAGCAGTACAAGTATATACTTGGTTCGACCAGTGGCTTAACTTAACAAAATATAATCTAGTATCAGTGACAAACGGTGAAGGAAAACATCGTGAGGAAACCTGGGCTTATAATTTTTAAATTATAAGTTAGAATGTGTGGCAGACATTATGATGATGATGATAAAACAAAATGGAAGTTGCCGTTGTTTTCTGAACAGATGGCACAATTAAAAAAAAAAGTAATTTTGTCCAATCACTGAGTAGCTGTCAAAAATTTATCGCCTAATGGTAAATAGGGTATTGGAAAAAGAACGTGATGTCTTGATTAGCGAATTCTGAACAAAAATACAGGAAAAATCTAGTTAAATAAGGAAGGTTAAATTACGAGTAAACAACGAAATAATGTGTAGGTCTCTGTATTTACGTGGGTGTAATATACGCAATCCTATTGTTTAATTTAATGACGTGAATTCAGAGAAACGTACGACAGAGTTCACTTCGTTTTTCCTTATAGTCATTTGACATATTATTTTTACTCAATTACTCTGCGGCTTCTAAGCTTATTTATTTTCTAAAAGAATAGGTTGGTATAAAAATAAAATGAATATTATAAATTATTTTTGTTGGCGAGTAGCTGGGCAACTAGCCGCCTACCTAACTAGTGGGGGGGGGGTAATGGGGCCTCCGGTAGCGTCACTAGAAACACAACGCAAGCGTTGTTTCACGTCGATTTGTGTGGTCGGAAAGCCGAATCATGGCTCTCCCACACTTAAAAAGGCCTTGGCTTTGACCTTTGCTACGTGTACTTTACAATAATCATTTATTTATTTAAGACACTAAAGGCCCACTGTTTGTAACAAAATCAAAATTACGAAACATATTTACAAACTAGCAGCCCGTCCCGGCTTCGCACGGGGTAGACAATTACTTATTTTTGGAAATTTGGATTGTTGTAGTGACATAACTACAATAGTTGGACATATGCTACCGCGGAGTTTTTTGTAGACATTATGATGTTCTTCAATATTGTTGTACATTATTTTCTTCTATCGCTAATAGTTTCGGCCGCGCATTCGACGAAAGACATTTTAAGACTTATTTTTCTACACCTTCGGTTACATTGTTCAAATTTTACCAAGGATTCCTAATTTTTTTCAAAATGATATGTAGCCTATGTCAAATTGGAAGAATGTAGCATTCTATTGGTGAAAGAATTTTTTAAATCGGCCCAGTACTTTTTGAGCCTATCCATTACAAACGTACAAACATACAAAAATAGGTACAAATCTTTCCCCTTTATAATATTACTATAGATATGAGTGTAAGCACATTAAACAGACAAAACAATACAGAAAACAAATACAAATCAAACACACACATAGAAAACAGACACATGCAGTATTTTTGTACTAAAACAAGCATACTGAAGCGCTCTCGGTGGTAATATTCGGTAACAATAGAGAAATTTAAAATTTCCTATGTTCCGAACATTTTTTTTTATATTTTATTTCCCACCCCAGGGGTACATTTACCTAATTTTAGGGGATCGTTTAATGATGGCTCATATAAATGCTAATGTAAGGTGAGGCGGTAAGATTGACCTTTCTTAGAACTTGTCAAATTACTTACAAACTTCAACGGGCCTCCGAAACTTGGTCATATCCTTGCTTTGAGGCGGTATTAGGTGCTTGTATGTGTACATAGGTTGTACTGCGTTTTATCATTATAAACAGTCTCTAAATATCCACTTCTGGATTATGAGCCTCCCTTACATTAATGTTTGACAGATCGGTTTTTTTAAGGGGGAAAATCATCGAATGACTTCTCCCGCCTGGGCGAGACGGAAGGGAGTGTCAGACTCTTACTGACTTAAAACCATCCCGTTTCTACTCCTGCCGAATGGTAGGAGTTTTTAATGCAGGAGGAGGAGGCAGGAGTTTTTTACCTTCGTGCCGGAGCCCCGGCAACCCGTTAAGTCTTCCGCGGCTCCTTATCGGCATCAGCCCTATTGGGCCCCATCTGTTAGTGTTGACCTCACATTGGGATCACGACTCACGAATCACACACTACAGGCAAATGCCTGTAGTGTGTGATTCGTGAGTCGTGTGGGAGCTAACGTACACAAATAGATAGGATTATAACGTACTAATCACATCCAGACCCGGAAACAACAAGTTTAATTGTATAATTGTCATCATACATTTATTTTATTATGAACCAAATGAGGACAAATTTGTCAATAGTTGTGTTCACATCTGAAAATAAATGAGAAATAATAATAAATGAGGATAGGTATATTAACAATAATCCGTCCTTATTTAGGATTAAAACATTTTCCTTATATTTAATCAGCACGTACTAATACTACAAAAAACAAAAATAGTCCTGTTAGTTGGTGCGTTGCGTTTGTTTTAGTTATAAGTATCTGTACAAGCGACTTCGCATAGAAAAGAAGCCTAAGGTACTCATGAGTAGAGTACATCAGCTACCTATAAATAAAAGTCCCGTCAAAATCGGTCCAGTCATTTCAGTGATTAAATAAAAGAAACAGACAGACAGAAATGGTAAAAGAAATATTTTGGTATATGTACGATTTTGAGAAGGATTTTGATGCGCGATGCGAAACATTTCGCAAGTTCTTGCGATGCGTAGAGGGAGTTCGCACATTTTTACGATGCGACGCCGCATCGAATGTCGAATGTCGTGGTGAATGTCGTGGTGGCCCGGAGGTTTAAGACGCCCACTTCTCATGCATGAGGGTGCGGGTTCGAAACCTACCAACGGCAAGTACCAATGTGACTTTTTCAGAGTTATATGTACTTTCTAAGATTATTTAGACACCACTGACAAACGGTGAAGGAAAAAAATCGTGAGGACACCTGGACTTATAATTTCTAATTATAAGTTTGAAATCGCCAACCCGCATTGAGCAAGCGTTGTGATTAACGCTCTAACCTTCTCCGTGTGAGAAGAGGCTTTGCTCAGCAGTGGGCATTTATAGGCTGTTGATGGATGGATGGACGCCGCATCGCAGTTTTGTGTACGGGCCCTACATTCAAACCTTATATGAAGCGCGTATACGCGCAGTACACGCGTGTTTCCTGCACGTATAAAAATACGCCGTTTGCCTAACAATTTATTCACAGACGAAGCTACGATAAAACTTAGTTCAGTACAAAATATGATAAACAATACAACTAATTAATACTGACGCCAATGTTTTATGAAAATAACTGTGACACAATTAGCTACAAGTACATAAGGCGACACGTCAAGTTATACAAAACCAGTTTATTATGGTCTTGTCTAGTATGACCGGTCCGCATTATCGACGGTCTACTTATGTTGGCTGTGATAGTCTGATATGTAGTCATGTCGACCTATAAAATGATCGAATCATAGCGTTCAGGATCAAACTATGGACGATTGTTAGTAGCGACGAGTACTGGGAAGTTTTAAAATGAAGATATTTATTTTAATTTGTGTGTACGTTGCATACGTTGCTGCGAGCCAGGAATTGGAGGTGCCAACTGAAAATAATGCCGCTAAAAAGGATGATAGTAAGTTCCGATACTGTTTTTATTTTTTACTAGCTTCTAGCAGCGGCTTCACCCGCGTTCTCGTGGAATAGTAATCTATGTGTTAATCTAGAACAGAACCTATCCTTGTTCCAAATTTCACCCCGATCTCTTCAGCCGTTTTGACGTGACTGAACAACAAACATAAACACAGACTCACTAACACACAAATTCACTAACTTTCGTATTTATATTAGAGCAAACGAGTACTTACCACAAATAGTTACCTTATGGCGAATACTGAAACGCTACTCAATTTTAAGTCGTACTTAAGTGTACTTCTGTTACCACTAATTCTTTGTAAAATGACAGAGATCGCACGATATTTAAGCAGGACTTAAAATTGAATAGCGTTTCAGTATTCCGGCATTACTTACCTTTAACTCTTACACCGTCACCTGATATAAATCCCCAAAATATGTTTCTATAAAAGTAGTTCTAAACAATGCTCTAAACGTCGGAAATAAGGTCTACAATAAAGTTGAGTTGAGTGAGTGAGTTAAATACAAGAGAGTGGAGAGTGGTCACAGGTGACCGCTTGGGGATTTGTCAGAATGGGAGCATTTTGTTGTAAAAATATTTTGTTAAAATTATACAAGGATTAGTTATTGAATATAAAAAACGCTAGTGGCTCCGTTTCTATACTCCCAAGAGTAGACGGTAACTATATTCATTTCGACAGACACTAAACAATATTTCAGATTCAGCTAAAAACTAATTTATTTCCGATATGTTAATGATCTGAATTGGAATCAACATTTATTTAGTCACATATAATTTTGTTTGTTACAGAAACCACCGGTTTACTAACACCACCTGTGAACGATGTAAGCAAGCCGCCAAATGTTTTAGAACCTACATCTACAAAACCACTTCCAGCCTCTGATACGTCAGCTACAAACACAACCAAATCTAAAGGCAAAGCAATAAGACATAGAAAACCATCTCATAAAAGACCAAGATATAGGCACAAAGGGTCAAAAGACCACAAGAGATTGAAGACCAGATTACCAAAAGGACCAGAGGATTTAAGACACAGAAGACCAAAATATCAACACCATAAATTGCACAAAAAACCTATACATCGTGTTCCAAAACACATCAAACCTATTAATAGACACAAACGCATAAACAGAAGACATGATTATGATTATTATTAAACTGCTCAGTGGTTAGCAGATCATCTTTCTCCAGTCCGTGAAAATTAATGGGATTTATGACTTTATATCCAAAATAATAAAGTTCAAGATGTAATAAGGAAAAACTGAAAACGATAGGTCGGTCTGCTGGCCACCGTAGTTGACGGAAATATGAGTTAATTAATTTCTGCAATCGACTTTGGCTGCGTTAGTCTGATCAATAGTAGCCTATATATTATTACAGTCCATAATCGATCTCTATGCCAATTGATTATGAATCAGTAGTTTTTTAAGTGAAAGAGTATGATATTATATGCATACATTTTTAAACTTTCGCATTTATAATATTGATAGGAATTAGTATTGTAACATTAATCGCAATATTAATACTGCATTGTAACAATAATCGCAGTATTAAAACTTCGATACTAATTCCTAATATCCACTTATTATTATTAAACGGTTTTATTTGCCTTGACCTGATTGTTTGTTTTGAGCCTTTAGTAATTAGATTTTTACCCCCTACCTGACGACAGGTCGATCTGATAATTGTTTTTTTTTTTCTTTCTTTAAAAAAATGCTAAATTTTGTGGGTGCGTTTACAAACGTACCAGATTACACACACATGACACCCAGACCCAAAACAACAATTTGTGGATCACATAAAGAGTGGCTCTGTACGGAAATCAAACTAGCTACACGTTGCGCGACAGCCTACTACCCAAGTCAAGTTCTAAGACGAAACCACGAGTGAAGTAGGTACTATTTCTGTATTGCGATCTCGTACATAATAATTTTTATTAAAAAACATCACCACCAAAATATTAAAGCCCAACACAAAACCCAACGTATCCCTGGATACATTTACAATCAATCAAAAAGAAATTCTCAAGGAGAAAATGTAATATAAAAAATTTGAAATTCGTATCGGTTCGTTGTAATATTTCTCATTAAAATTAGCTTCTTTGTGGTAACCTTATTTGAATATTTCAAAGGGCTTAGTATGAATATGATTTGTGTTTAACGTGACCGACACGTTTATGACGTTCGCCGTTCTGATTGGCCTGTTCCAATGAACCAACCAATCAGAGAGTTGAAAGCGGTAACGTTTCGATCACGTCAAACGTAAAACCAATTCGTACTAGGCCCTACACAAACCTCCACGAGTACCCAGGTACTTGATTTGCGGATGTTCAATACATGAGTAACTTAGACTCGTGCTTGGGTGCGACGGTTCGAGAGATTTAAAGTGCGGTCTCACTGCAGCGACTTTTCCGTTATTTATCGAGTGCTCCAGCTTACGAGGATTTTTGTCGCAACGTTTAAATCCTCACGTTTCACCGTTATGACCTCAAGATATTTAAAAACAATAACTGAGCGTTCGTTTTGATTTATCGCTTGCTGTTGGTGTTTGTGAAAAATTTTTGCAGAGGAAAGGTAATTCTAAAAGTGTAGTTTAGTTTGTTCTGACGTTTTGTTTTGAGGGTTTTTTATGGGATAAGCCGGCAAACGAGCAGACGGATCACCTGATGGTAAGCATTCAGCGTCGCCCATGGACAGCGGAGGCGTTACAAGTGCATTACCGGCCTTGTGGGGATTAGGGATTTGAGGATTGTTGAGTATTCAGGGATTGGGAAGATGAAGATGAGGGTAATCGCGCCTCCACCTCACTCACATGAAGAAATACAACACAAGCTTTGTTTCATGTCGGTTTTCTGTGAGCCGTGGTATCTCTCCGGTCGAGACGGCCGATTCGTGTCGAAGCATGTCTCTCCCGCACGTTACCGCGTTAAGGGTAAAGAAGAATGGATGTTAAGTGAATTCTGGAGATACAAATGCATATTGCATCCAATACACTGATTCTCTACATATTATATCAATTCAGATTATATATGCTATATTAAATGTCAGAAATCATTAAGGAATTCAGAGAAACTGTTGTAGTGTGTTTGATTAAAAATAAAATAAAATCAATTAAAAAGACACAAAATATATGTCTGAAGTAAGCACAGCTCTTCGAAAACCAGGAAACTATAATTTTAAGACTACAAATAAAAAAAATCGCAACGCAAAAAAAAAATCTTGGAACCAACCTTTAACAACGCAAAATGAATTCCAAATTTTCTGTGTCTCAATTTGATAGCGTTTCGTATTAGCATTTCACTGTGTCTGCGTTGATTTCATATTAAATTTAAATCCGTGGTACGAGTTGAAAACTAGCCTTTATTTGCTGCGAGGAACGTGTCATTTTCCTATGACCTAACTAAATTAATTTCTCCAATACTTTTCATGTAGTATAATTCAAATATTTATTCGAATTAGTAATGTTTGTTATTCGTGTTTGTGATACGAATGAAGTACTAATTGGATTTATTATATTTCATTATTTGTCTCTTCTACAAAGCCGACCTAACATTAAAAATGTTTAAAACATAATCTATTATGTAGACTCGAATCATTTTTTGTTAGGCATGTTACTCACCTGTGCAGTTTTACCTGTACAGTTAGGTGTGTAGCCTGCATTAGGGGTAAAAAATTAATAAGATCTCCGCATTCAATTCGCTATTATTCAAATAAAGGAATTATAGGGAACAGAGAGTATAGTTCCCTGAAATCTGAAAAAAGAATCCTTCGACCAGGCGAGATGATGCTGCGGGTGACTGCTCAACAGCCTACGACGACGTGGTCTTCTCAACGTCTCCGGCTGGGGGTATGAGGACCTTCGATCCAGGCCGATGCTTGTCTATTGTCGATGGTGTTTCAGTCCCTGCATGCAACAGCAGGCGATGAGTTGAAGTAGTCTCTGTATGTCTCGATGTAGAGTCGTGTCCAGTGATTGGTGCCGCTAAGAGCTGCACTCGAGCCAGGACAGATCGGCGAGCAGCAAGCTGTTAGTGGCGCGTGGTTGAACAGTCATAATTATGATGGAATTTTCTATACATGTTATTCTGTGCGCAAACTCCACATGCGCGATGTATGTAGGATTTGTGTGACGTCGTCAGTAGATTTCACCGTGTCGAATTTTTCGTCACAAAATTAAACTTCAAAGTTAATTCTAAAAAATGGCTGTATTTATATTTATTTAAAAGCAATTCTTAACAGGAAAATTGCGCTGAGCAGCGGTAATTGAAGAGTTATTTAATTAAGAAACAGCTCGCCCACTTATAAGAAACCCCACTGTTAAATAAAATACTTTTTAAAAGGAACCAAAGATATTTTTCTTATGATCCGTTTTTTGTGGCTCGAGGGCTGATTAGAGAAATCGTTTTTCATTAATGGACGACTTGATTTTAGACAATTTGTGTTGTGAATGAAACTATATTGAAAGGTACAAGTTAATCTTGATTTTTAACTGACTTCCCAAAAAGGATGGTTCTCAATTCAGCCAGTATAATTTTTTTGTTATGTAGTGACAATGACAATGTATTTTTTATCACTTATAGCCAATTTGTTTGCTATTAAATAGAAAACTCGAATAGAAAAGCCGTTAACGCACCTGTGACTCCTTTAGTATTGTAGGAGTCCATAGGCGATGCTGATCGCTTATCATAAGGTGATTCGTCTGCTCGTTTGCCTCCTATTTTACAAATACAAAACAAAGGTCTAAACCAGTGAAAAAGAATAAAATTTTTCCCAAGTGAAAGATAACGTTTCTAGTTTTAACTGCCGTTTATTATGACTAATCTAACTGTAGCTAAATTGATATTTAAAAGAATATTATGTATCTTTCTGTGCCTAACAAGATTCATAACTGACCTTAAGTCATTTTTATAACACTTGGTATGATATTATGGCACAATACACAAATAAACAAATGAATAAAAAAATACTACAACATGAATAGTTCTGTATTAATCATCCAAGGATGACTGTCCTATTTATAATTAAGCAATCACCAACAAAGACAGGAAAACGAGCTTAATATAAACTATAAACAGCATTATTAATTTGTACTGTAATGTTTTCAGACGGTATATAACTCAAGGACATCCCCCTCCTCCCTTACGGCGTAAACTACATTTTGCTATACCCAAACAGTCTGTATTACCATATTACTCACGCAGTGTAATCTAAAACTGAATTAATTAATTCAAATTCGTAGCAGTTTCCTATCCAAAATAATTTGGTGTTATAATAAATGTACATAATTAGTGGAACAAGATTTTCCCTTATATTGTCGACATGAAGCTCAACAGTTGTATATTGTTTTGTATTGTGTCTGAATAATATTCAATTTGGCATTTATACCTATCTATCTCTTTTGAGAATGTAGAGGAGGGCTGTCCAAACCTTTTTTTTACGTGTGGATATCCTCACGGTTAATCCTAGTGTGGGTTGCCCCACACTAGGATTTTCTCCTGTAGCGTGGGTGCGTTTATAAACATACAATATCACATACACATGACACCCAGACTCGAAACAACAATTTGTGGATCACACAAAGAGTTGCTCCGTGCAGGAATAGAAAACACTACACGGGAGACTCGTTATCCAGCCGCCGCAACAGCCGTGCAGTCTATAATAGTCTATAATAAATATAGGATAGTCCAGCGCTGGACTGTCTCAAGCAATTAATGATCAGAATATGAAGAATACTAAATCGCCTTAAATATCACAAAGTACTAATTTACACGCCAGGGAAGAAGTGAAACAATGCAACAACTAAGATTCAAACTTGATACGGTAGTTATTACGGTGAACAGTGTTACGTAACTTCAGGCATTACACATTCAAGTTGCCTGCACTGGCTGATAACTGCCGGTAATTAACACTTAGACCTAAACGCTGTATCTTAACTTAGTCTTATCTCTGCACTACTGCTATGAATAGGTACACTGTAGAGGTATAGTCACATTATTACATAGACAAACGGTGAAGGAAAACATCGTGAGGAAACCTGGGCTTATAATTTCTAATTATAAGTTTGTAATCGCCAACCCGCATTGAGCAAGCGTGGTGATTAAGTAATGCTCAAACCTTCTCCGTGTGGGAAGAGGCTTTGCTCAGCAGTGGGCATTTACAGACTGTTAATGATAGTCACATTATTTAGTATACAGGTTTTAAGTGTGGGAGAGCCATGCTTTGGCATGAATGGGCCGGTTCAACCGGAGTGATACCACGGCCGAGCAGGAAACGCAAGCGTTGTTTCACGTAGTGTGAGTGAGGTTAACGGAGGCCCAATTACCCCCCAACAATCGGCGGTATCCATCGGCGGCGCCGATTGCTTACCAAACATGTGATTTGTCTGCTCGTTTAGCGGTTTATGCCATAGAAAAGAGCATTTGTATATTTCGCACCTTTTTGGTCGAATTGTCGTGCTTTCGTCTCAGGTTGGACAAAAAAATTGATGTTGTCATTTTTCGTTGTTTCTAGAATTGAGCGAGTGTAATGCAGTAGGGGTAACCTACTGCACAACACTAATAATGTAATTAGTCAAAATTGGGTGTAACATTATACCTCTAATTGCGTACGTTTACATAACTTTTTTTATGTCTTCAAGTTTTTTTTTATTATTGAAATACAGTACTTTAAACAGTTTTACATAAATGACATATGGACATAGTTTTCGAAAACATATCCAAAACAAATCACTGCATCTTACCTTAGGTACATACATAATGAAGGCGTGCTTACGTAATGAAAACACCAAAAAAGTCGACCATAAAGGAACTAAGTGGAGAATTATGTTCCAAATTAATGATGGACGTTTTTCCTTTCATCCCCTTTGTGCACTTGTAGGTAATCGTTAATCAATGTCCACATTTGTGGGAATGTAGCCATGACAGAATGTACCCATAGCTCTGGAGCTATGAACCAAAATTGATTTTCTCCGAATAGCATGTTTTCACCTGGATGTGACATAGTTTGCATTATTGCTGACTTACGTTTTAGGAATAACATTTCAGTGTTGCAAGGTTTTGTTAATCAATATAAACAAAATCTTTAGTGCTTACTAAACTAAACGTACTTAGGCTATTGGCTCACGAACCGATTTTCTCCCGCGCCCTCTGCTATTGTGAGCCCTCAGCCTTTGTAGAATACAGATAATAATGTATGTAAAGACTGCCTCGCTGGCCGAGTGGTCGCAAGTGCGACTGTCGGGCAGGGGGTCTCGGGTGCGATTACTGGGTCAGGCAAAGTATTACTGGGTTTTGAAAAAAATCTCAGTAGTAGCACGGAGTCTGAAATTGTGCCCGGTATATGGCAATAGGCTCACCCCCTATTACATGGGACTCATAACATAAATAGTGAAAAGTGGGTGTTACATTGTATAGTGGTATAATGTGCACCTCTGCCTACCCCTTCGGGGATAAAAGGCGTGATGTTACGTAACACATTTCACAACGTATTTTACGCCCGCAGCAAGCGAGCGTAAAGCGTAAAAAAATCCCATCGTGAGTCCTTAGCCTTAGATTTAATTGTTTGACTGTTAAGCTATACTTATTATTGAAGTCGTTTCATGTAACATTCTTATTGACCATGGTCATCATTATCATCGTCAACAGCATCCCTATTTTACCCAGTTGTCAACACACATGGTTTTACTAAATTGTTAGCATGTATTTCCATTCAGAAGCTGAGCTTTGCGGAGTAGAGCGGAGCAGAGCCGTGTGAATAAGTAAGTGTTTTAACTAAAGTTGCGCAGAGGCGAGCCGTACAGAACTGCTGGAATCGAGCGGAGTGGCGTGGAGATGAGCCAAACAGGGTTGTGAAAACGCAGTTTAGGTTAAAGATTGCATTGAAAGAACAGACCCTTGTCAAGCTACCTTAAACTATATTTCAATAATGAAATTTGAACTCTAGTATTTCGTATTAAAGCTGAAAATTATATAAAGAGTTCATAGATCAGGTTAACTTGTTGTTCCAGCTTCCACCCATAACTAATTGGTCGCTCTAACCATTAACATCATGACTATTAACCCTGGACAGTTAAGTACCCCTAATCATGACGCATGCAAATGTAGTGCCATGTAGTGGGCTGGTAGTTATCGTAAATCAGGTAGTTATTACAAGGTACCATTAGCCAGCTAAAGCGTGAATGTATGACGACTGTACCAGATTAGCTGTGAACAAAACTTTATTACGCTATTTTAATTCACTATAATTTTTTGACGTGACAACGTCTTAAATTAGGTTGCGGCTGGGAGTCACTTATGAAAAAGTGTAACGCTCGGTAACGTTACGATGAGTCACCGAACGAGAGAGAGGCCCGCCGAATGCCTTGCGTCTCTCTCCCACTCAACTATGATCGGTCTGCCGCGCGCGCAGCACTAGTTCATTCAATTCCTTGTTCCTATTGTGCAATTTAATTATATTCATATCAATAAATATTCTACCGAGAAAAAGACGTTGTCACGTAAAATCTTCGCCCGTAAAAACGACTTTACAGGCAACCATTTTTTATTAACAAGTTATTTCTTCTATGGGAAGAGTGAACGCTTCAGGTTATTTAAAGTATAAAAATGTGCATAAATACATTATAATACATATAAGTCAAAATATTTTATTTAGTAAGGAGATCATCAAAAATGTAACCCATTATTCAGCATTTGTGTTGTCTCATGAGTTTCACCTTACATACGTATGTACAATAGCTCAAAGTGACCACAGAATTTTTGAAACCCTGAACGCCTATCGGTAAAATCATCCGACCACGAATTGGACTTCGGCGCTAGGCTGTGCAGTAATTTAACACTGGTCGAAACTGCTTACCTCTCGAATCAAAGCGAGCGTGAAAAATCGAAAAAAGCAAACGAAATAAAAATGCAATCACAACGCACAGCTCTGAAAAAATGGCTTCCATCCAGTTCAGATCACACAATCTATTCCAAACTATTGCACTGCAAAATCAAACTCATCACACTAGAGCAGAGACTGGTTGCACTCGACCTTTTTTCATTATCACTGAAAATGCAAAAGTTGAATTTTGACCTGAATGCAACTTTGCTAACACAAATTCCGCTGATCGAGTCGCAAGTGCAAGTCGAATAATAATCTTGGACTACAATTTTAGACTCAACTAGGTTTAGGATAAGATTTTTCAATTTAACAAGTTTGATTATTATGTATAACGGTTGAAAAAACACTTAAACTATATTTCTATAGGGGTTACAGTGAAATCAGAATCCCTTTTTCTTAGTTTTTCTCCCCAAAACGAACAAATGTGTCCAAAAAGGTTGGCATTATCTATTACTTTTAACCAATTACTGGTGACAGGTTCATCTCCCTTAAACCAATATTACTTTCTTAAGAAAAGTAAGATTAAAAATTGTGATACACTTTAAAATCTAAACAAAGATACTACAATAGAACAAACATTTTCCCATTCAAAGTAATGTATCAATCAATCTATCTTTATCTCTCTCTTTCATCCAGTTCAACGACTAATATCCAAAAAGTGTGAGAACGCGAATTTCCCATCGGCGGGCCAACAGCCCAATACCCCGAATGGATCGGATGCAGGAAAAAAAGGCGATTGCAAGTTTTGCAATATATTACTTTCACGCCACTCAGGCGTTCTAATCGTTTCGCTTGTTTATTTCTTTGTGATACGATTGTACAAGGTTGGAGCTGACAGCGGTTGATTTATTTACTTTGAGATTTCTAAAGGAAAAAGGGTTGTGTTCTTTCTTGTAATTTGTCAGCCTCAATACCAGGGAAGCATGAGTGTGTTGTTTGTTTGAACGTTGTCGTTACGATGTATATGTGGAGAAATAAATCGGTAGGAATTTTGTTCTGTTTTGTGTTTTACTTGATGTTTGGATCAGATTCTAGGATTGCACGGTTTACTTAGTTTATCTGTTTTGATCATTATCTTATTAATAGTATAAACGATAAAGTTTCTGAATGAGTTTGTGGATATGTTTGTTGCTCCCGTTAAAATGACTGAAGGGATCGGGATAAATTCGAAACAAAAGTAGATTATGGTCTGGATTAGCACTAAGGCTTCTTTTATTCCACAGAAACGCAGCCAAAGCCGCTATCAGAAGTATGTTATGCTTTTTTGTCATAAAAAGCTAAAAATACAACAGTTATTGACTTGAACCTCGCGTAGACTGTCGACACTTTTTTCCTTATCGTACCGAAGCCAGGATTAAGGGGCATTCCTTTAGAGTAATGCTATGTCCAAGGTGCTTTGAATTATACGCAGAAAAATACACGTTTATTTCATTTTCAACGCTTTACTTTCCTTTTTTGAAGCACCAAAGAATTAAGAGTCTTAAACAGTAAGTTTTTTTATTGACCTCTTAATCGTCTCCTATCATTTAGGAAGACTATCGTTATTGTCTGAAACATAATGTGATGATCGAGATTACCGCGTAGCTTTCCACTATGTTGGTTGATCACCTACTCATTGCCTAGATGTTGTAAAAAAACCTCACCCGGCCTAAAAGTTCCATAAGCTATAAAGCCCGCAGAGGACAGGGGCGCTTGGTTGAGGATTGTCCATCAAGTGACGCGTGCACCAGACTAGACACGACCTTCAATAATAAAGAGAACGACTGAGAAGAAGGATGTGATGAGACTTCGAAATCAAAAACACCTGGATTTCAGAGATGAAATTCAGAATCTTGTCAAGGTCATTTCAACAAGACAGTTTAACTCGTCGAGTACCGGTTTTGTAGACACAATTATAGAACAATAGGTTGCGGTCATCGGTGACCGCTTGGTGGTTGACAGTTTAATGGCCATCCATTATTAAAATAAAACATATAATTACGTTCAATTAAAATTCTACTACAGTAAACCCTTCCTCCAAAACTCAGCCATCGTTCTAATTCCGAATACATTCAAAAATATCACAGAAAAGCCTTTAAATAAAATACATTTTTGTTCAAACAAATTAATGTTCCTTCAATTTTTTCTACTGAATGGTCTTGTTAATGTTTATTAAAGCGTCTTTGTTTAAAGACAAAAGATTTTTCATATAAAAAACCCGAGGTATTTTTTACTGAGAGAACAAATTTTAATTGTGGTGGACTTTGTGGGTGGGAGCTTCATCCTTTTAATTTCTAGTGTCATGTTTTAGAGTTGGCTGCATTGTTATGAATGGTGAGACTAATTTGTATTAGAGGTTTTTGTTCTGTGATATTACTGTTGGTTTTTATACTAATTTATAATGTTGGAATGAATGAAACGTAGATAGTAGGTATCTACGTTTTCTCACTACCACTGTTGTTGTCTACGACACCACAACCTAATTATCTTGTCTAAAGTAAAAAGTTGTAGTATATAGTCTTCTAGTAGTTATCTTACTAATAGTATATATGCGTAAGTGTTGTGTATGATTGTTACTTACATATCATAACATAACATTACGCCTTTTATCCACGAAAGGGTAGGTAGTATTTCAAAATGTAATTTGTAGAGAATTTTAAAATAAATATATGGAAATAAATAAAATGAAATGGTTAAAGGTATCGGGATGATATTCGAAACAAGAGAGGTTTATGATTGAGAATAATACATAGCCCACTTTTTATGCCATAAGTACGCGAGTAAAATTAGTTCTAGCTAGCAGAAGCAAGTTCTAACATAAATGAACCTTTAAAATTGAATATATTGTAGGTTACAAAAACTTTTAAAACTATTTCAGTGTCTCCAATCGCTTAGTATAAAAACCAATTGTCCAAATTGAATACTAATAGAACTAGTCTACAAAGAGAATGGGCAAATAAAGGAACTTTCAAGACATCGGTAAATAGGTACGATATCGTTGTATGTTCGATGAATTTCCAATCCCATGAGAGCAGAAAGTATCTAAAATTGTTCCTTTATTTAGAAGACTATTTAAATAGACCAAGTTATGTCTAACGATTTTGTAGGATTATTTTCTTTAAATTTGCTCATAAAATATTTTGTTCGTATAATAGCGTAGTAGGTATCTTAAATTTTATGTTAATGTCTGTCTGGTAGGTTATTTTAAACCATTAGACACGTATTTTTTCTTTGCTAGCAAAATTAAATGCTTTCGACGATGTATTGATTTGAAATACAATGTGATGTCACGATTTACTACATTATATACGGTAGCGTGACGTAACGACCTCCCACTCCTAAACTTAACTCCGTTTTATCTAAGTATCGTTTTCTAATACGACATAATCTAACTGACGGACTAATTACATTTTTAATTCAAATTCAAATTCATTTAATCGTTTGCAAACATGGGTAATTGGGTACATAATATAGGTATTAACAAAATATACAGTTTCGCCATATTTTGCCTTCACTTGACATGCAAAGATATGTTATAAAAAATTATATAATAATATTAGGTACATTAAGTTTAATTAATTGTAATGTTGTTAAATTGAATGTCAAATAAATTAAAATTATTAATACCATTGAAGTCAAAAATGTAATGTCAAATTAAATATATTATGTAAAAAGGTAATCATCAATTATGAATGTCACACAAGCAAAGTTAAACAAATTAAGTAAATTATAATTGACCGTCATACACGCAGCCACAACAAGCCCAAGAACCATCATGTCCATTCCCTCTTTAGTCAATTACATATATGAAATGTGTATGTCAATTAATAATTCAAGTCAATTTATTTTCATACTCTGTCTGTCTACTACCCTATTATTATGTTTTTTGGATTCATCATGAATATAACCATTCTAGAGAAGCAGCATTCCGCAACACACGCAGTGGCGGCTGTAACACTGTTACGGACTATACCTATTGTCTCACAAAAGTTATAATTTTTTTTTATAACACTATCATATTTTTATTAATAACTTGATAATATTTACAGTAAGCTACTGGTCGCATGTAGGTTTCGACCGGACAATGAGGAAGTCATTAGGAGAAGTGTATATTTGACTGTAGACTTCTTGAAGCTAATATGACGAAGAACCTTTTTCTAGCACGTTCTTGGTACTGTAACATTACTCATCAACAGCTTATAAATGCCCACTGCTGAGCAAAGCCTCTTCTCACACGGAGAAAGTTAGAGCATTAATCACCACGCTTGCTCAATGCGGGTTGGCGATTTCAAACTTATAATTAGAAATTATAAGCCCAGGTTTCCTCACGATGTTTTCCTTCACCGTTGGTCAGTGGTGTCTAAATAATCTTAGAAAGTACATATAACTCGGAAAAAGTCACATTGGTACTTGCCGTTGGTAGATGTCGAACCCACATCCTCGTGCATGAGAAGCAGGCGTCTTCAACCTCCGGGCCACCACGACACCTTTGTTAGCTACCTGTAACATTACGTTAGCCATTAAGGTAGCCGCAGAAGACGTAACGGGTTGCCGGGGCTCTGGCTCGAATGGCAGGAGTAGGAACAGGGTGGTTTTTAGTCAGTCAGAGTCTGACTCTCCTTCCCATCTCACCCAGGCGGGAGAGGACAATCGATCATTTTCCCCCGTTAAAAAAAACCATTAAGGTAGGTAAAATAAAACATCCAGAGTTCCAAATTAATCAAAATCGATTCAGAAATTTAGCGTAGCATACAAATCAGCACTCATTCAGACAACAATAGTTTTCTAACTCAACTTTGCTTGTATAATTTACATGGCTACACTATACATATCTATGTATGTATAATGGCCGTAAGTACCTACCATGTATGTATATATGGTCTATCCTGCAACTCCTTGGGGGAATACAGAATGATGTTAAGTTTAATTACAATTCCAACGCAACATGCTTAGAATATAAAGGCATTTAATTTAGTTTTGACAAGAGGAATAAAATTTGTATTTACACTAGTCGTAGCTCGTGACTTTGGTCTGAATTTAATAATATTATAGTGTTATGTGAAAATAAGAAGACTTGTAATATTTGTGTTGTAATCTCATAAAAATGTATTAAAAGACAGAATTACACAAACTACCTAATTAGCTTTTGAAGAGTAGGTGGTAAGAAAAATGAATAAGATGCTCTTTAACTATGAACCGTTCTCCTTTTAGTAGAAATATTCCACTTACCATGTCTACTGCATACAGCTTATAATCTTTCTCAGTAGCTAAATTTTATCCAAATCAGTTCAGCTGTTTTGACAAATAAATGAGTAAGTAATACACATTCTTATTCCAAAACATGAAACTTTCGCATTCATAACATAAGATAGCATAACGCCACGCCTTTTAACCCCAATGGGGTAGGCAGAGGTGCACATTAGGTCACTTAATACCACTGTGCAAAGTAACACCCACTTTTCACTATTTATGTTATAAGTCCCATGTAATAGGGGGTGAGCCTATTGCCATATACCAGGCACAATCCCAGATTCCATGCTATTACTGATATTTATTTAAAATCCCAGCCATACTTTGCCCGATCCGGGAATCGAACCCGAAACCCTTTGCCCGGCAGTCGCACTTGCGACCACTCGGCCAACGAGGCAGTCATTTATATCATTAAATTGTATATTTCTAATTACAGATTTTGATGTGGTAGGTATATTCACAGTTGTTCGCCTTAAGCAAGTATTCCATGTTACTACAGATGGTATCATTATAATTATAACACGGAAACCTATATATTTAATTGGGATTTACGTCGCTCCTTGCTTTAATCTTGTTAGTAATCGCTAAGCAAATCTGTTATGGCTTTACGTTGAATTATTTGAAGTGTTGAGTGTGTATTGTAGTCATTATTTGTCGCAGGTATATGAATAACTATTTTGTTGATATCCTATTAATCCTTACTATAATATTATAAATTGGAAAGTGAGGTTTTTGTTTGTTTGTTTGTTCCGCTTTCACGCCGTAAATACTAAACCGATTGCTTTGAATTTTTGCAGACGTAAAGTTAGAAGTCCGGATTAAATAATAGGGTACTTTTTATCCTGGAAAAATTTGATATTCTTGAGGAAAAACAAAAGTATTGGTATAGATGGCGCTGTATGTATTGGTATATGTCACATAGGCTAATTTTTGTCCTTTTGTGACGCGAGCCGCGGGTAAAAGCTATCCTTACTATAATATTATAAATTTGAAAGTGAGTTTGTTTGTTTGTTTGTTTATTCAGCTTTCACGCTGTAAATACTAAACCGATTGCTTTGAATTTTGCAGACGTAAAGTTAGAAGTCCGGGTTAAATAATAGGGTACTTTTTATGCCGGAAAAATTTGATATTCCCGAGGAAAACAAAAGAATTGGTATAGATGGCGCTGTATGTATTGGTATATGTCACATAGGCTACTTTTTATCCTTTTGTGACGCGAGCCGCGGGTAAAAGCTAGTAATTTATAAACGAGAGCCCATGATAGACGCCAGTAGTCAAAAACGGTCGCCGTAGCCGACACCAGCATGGAGGATTATTGGAATATAATAAAGGCAGTAGTTTGTTTGTATATTTGTTTGATTTTTGTCTCTCTCTCTTGTTTGTCTCTTTCACATCAAAACTTCTGAAGGGCTCAGGATGAAATTTGAAACAGAGATTAATTATGGTCTAAATAACACATTAGCTACTTTTATAATATAACGCGAACGTAACTAAGTCTAGCTCAACGACCTATTCAATATTCATGATTATATTAAACCTATTTTAAATCGGTCATGTGATATTTTCGAAAGTGCTATTGTATCCATTCGATTACAAATTAAGATGTTTTTTTAAAAGTTACTTAACCTTATCATGAAGAAACGATTGAACCAAGGAAGTGCTTAGAAATAACCTTAGACAGACATGGACTTATTAATAAATTCATTTTCATTATACTGCCTCGTTGGCCGAATGGTCGCCAGTGCGACTACCGGGCAAGGCGTCTCGGGTTCCGGGTCGGGCAAATAATACTGGGTTTTTAAAAAAATCTCGGTAGTAGCACGGAGTCTAGAATTGTGTCCGGTATGTGGCAATAGGTTCACCCCCTATTACATGGGACTCATAACATAAATAGTAAAGAGTGGGTGTCACATTGTACAGTGGCATAATGTGCACCTCTGCCTACCCCTTCGGGGATAAAAGGCGTGTTATGTTATGTTTTAATTATATTTGAAGTACTTATAGCAAATACCATTACAGTAGACAATATCCTGGAGTACAAACAGTTGGACTCTGTGGTGGTGTCTCCAAATTTTGGTATACAGGGTGCATTATGTTGTGCAATTAAGCTTGCTCTGCACTTGAAGAGATCTAATATATTAGTAGCTTCAAAAACCTTGCACTATCTAACTAGAGAATTATATTGTGAACCTGATTGAAAAGAGTAACCTATGGAGTTTCTTGCTCTTTCTTCTTCATAGGAATCTACACCTTGGAATGAGCAAATAACTTCACTTTAAATTTTTTTGACGTTCAAAAGTGTCTTTTTGGTCTAATTGAAATAAATGCTGTTCATTTTTTTTAATGTGCGCGCGTCTCATGTTTGCTCCACCTTGAGTGAGGCGAGAAGGATTGTCAGACTATTTTTTACTAAAAACCACCCCGTTTCTACTCCTGCCTTGAGCTGGAGCCCCAAAAACCCACTAAGTTGTACGCAGCTCCAGAAAAATCATTCACCTTAACCTTACCTTCCAGATGACTAAGTCTTAATTCAGATTAGACTAGTTGAATACTCATACTCGAAACATTTTTTTGTAATTTTTTATGGGATAAGGTCTAAACAGGCTGACGGATCACCTGATGATAAACAATCAGTGTCGCCCATGAACACCTGGAACATTATAGACATTATAGAGTGCGTTACCAGCGTTTTGGAGCCTCCGGTAACCTCACTCATATGACGAAACACAACGGAAACATTGTTTCACATCGGTTTTCTGTGAGACTGGTTATCACTCCGGTCCAGCTGGCCCATTCGTGCTGAAGCACGTCTCTACCACCCTTAAATCTACTCATTACTCAGTTTAGTCTTTATGACTATTCATATTCTAATGATGATCGAGACTGATGACTTAACGTAATCACTGTTCAGTTTTATACAAAGCACACAAACGCTCGAGATAGTGACAATAATCACTTATCAACAAATTAACCTCGACTGACTGAGCTGAAGCACGAAAGCATGCTTCAATTGAGCACTTGTCCCTTAGTAGCATATTGCTTAACATTAGCATGCTAATTTAGGGCATATTTGCGAATCGACAGGCGTTCGATTTTTAAACATTTTTGAGCATGTTTAATGGAGCCTTTTAGCACAATATTTTGTGGCATGATAATTATAGTATCTTCACTTTGTTTATGTGGTTATAATCTCATGTTTGTGTATCAAAAGAACCTCTTTTAAGTCTTCTAAGGAATAATAGACGTGCTCTTATCTCTTAGGACAGTGGACGGCATTCTCAAAAGCAACTAATGTGAGTTTGAAGTTCTGGTAGAACAAACATGGCGGCGTCGACAAGCGAACTATCTCTAAATGTGGGAACACGTTGCACGTTGCACGGAAACTTTGTTCATATAGTTACAAGAATGATGTGTGATAATATTTACACTACATTTTGCAGGAGAGAGACAAAACAGTTTTGTTCACTAAAATTACTAAGAATTATAGATCTAGCGAGTATCCTATGTATTTATGAATTACTAGCAGCCCGTACCGGCTTCGCACGGGGTAGACAATTATTAAATTTATTTTTGGAAATTTGAATTGTTGTTGTGACATAACTACAATAGTTGGACATATGCTACCGCGGAGTTTTTTGTAAACATTATGATGTTCTTCAATATTGTTATACATTATTTTGTTCTATCGCTAATAGTTTCGGCAGCGCATTTGACGAAAGACATTTTAAGACTCATTTTTCTACACCTTCAGTAACATTGTTCAAATTTTACCAAGGATCCCTAAATTTTTTCAAAATCAAATGTAGCCAATGTCAAATTGGAAGAATGTAGCATTCTATTTGTGAAATATTTTTTTAAATCGGCTCAGTACTTTTTGAGCCAGCCATTCATTACAAACATACAAACATACAAACATACAAAAATAGGTACAAATCTTACCTCTTTATAATATTAGTGTAGATTAATTGGTACTAATGAGATCTGTGAATGGGAAGATTATTGATATCTCAATATAAAACTATATTATCCACGAGTTACTCACGTAAACGACGGCACGGTTGGCGCAGTTACTAGACCACCGACTGCCGTGCAACGTGTCGCGGGTTCGATTCCCGCACGGAGCAACTCTTTGTGTGATCCACAAATTGTTGTTTCGGATCTGGAAAAAGATTGAAATGCCCCCCCTTCTCAATCTTTAATTGGGTACTTGTCAACTAGTCAAATTCAATACTTTTTTCGAACTGTCAAAAACTATAGTTTTCTATGTATTTTGTACGCGATTGTGTATTGTGACGTCATGTTTTTTAGCGTCAAACAGCATACTTATTTATTAAAAATTTGCTGAAAAAAGATGAAGGCAAGTACCCGATTAAATTGAATAATTGAAATGGGGGTATTTGGGCCTCAGGTCAGTTTTCTGTGAGCCCGTGGTATCACTCCTCTGGTCCAGCCGTTCGACCCGAAGTATGGCTCTCCCACACTACTTGTGTAATAGTAACTTAACGACATCTTGCTTAAACCTATCCAAAACAACAAAGTATCGTTCAAAGAAAAAATCCTTTTGTAGCAGTCAGTAAAATGAAACACAAATCGATCTACATTCACTACCTACCTACATAGACGTAAGTACGCATAATACATACACATATATGTAGGTACACATATACATACATAAGATATTTACACAGAATGACGTAAGGCTCGCTCCCAATACAAAACCATAAAGACGGCTCGTGTTCGCCATGTTTTATTCAAATTTGACCCATATTCATTCCACAGCTGTATCGCCAGATTTGAAGTACAGGTAAGCTTATTGAAAATATAAAAATACAAGTGTATTGATGAAAAGCCAAGGTGCATATCTTATGTACCATCAGTGTAACGTTTACTTATTGCTAGTATTAGTTGCCTAATGAATTCCGTGTAATATGAGTAGATAACTATGTTGTCTCACACTTGGCATAATTCAAGGCACATAGTGATGCGAAGGACATTCCGGGCCTCGAGAATCGCGGGACGATCTCCGGCCACCGTAAGCGCGGGCCTGCGTTCGGCGAGCATGGGTGGCTCGCCGCTCGACCAGAACCAGACCCGAGCGTACGGTGCGTCACGTTCCGCGCGCGCCGCACACTGGGTGCTTACTCTTGAAACCAATCTCAATATCAATGCAATTTCAACCCTATAGAAATTAGATTCTCAATAAATATTTAATGTCAAAACTATACAACCCATCGTAGCTGTTAAAATACCATTCAGAGTACGGAATATAAAGCCAAACTAAATACTATTTAGTTAATTTAAATATCTACGCAATACGGGTGCAGTGGGCGTTGGTGTTGCAACTCAAGAGTACAAAATTTCGCAATATTAATGTCAATCGATCGGAATTGGATTCAAGAGTAATCCCCCAGACCACTACGAATGGGGCCCAATAGAGCTGATGCCGCCGATACAGAGCTGCGGAGAATTTAACGGGTTACAGGGGCTCCGGCTCGAAGTGCAGGAGTAGGAACGGGGTGGTTTTTAGTCAGTAAGAATCTGACACTCCCTCCCGCCACACCCAGGCGGGAGAAGTCATTCGATTATTTCCCCCCCTTAAATAAGGCACATAGCGATCAATGAGAAGCACATCACAAGACCAAACATATCCAATAACCCTTTAGTCAAGTCTTCTGCCTCTGCAGTCACCTTTGTGGCCCCTCAATCACAAGCGGGACAAGACATTGATATTTCTTAGTATAATAACTGTCGTAGCTATGTCGGGTTATTTTAAATTAAAACAGAAGACTACACAATTAATAGGTTTAATTATTACATATCAGAATCAAGACCGGCTGGCACCGATACAAAGAAATGCCCGAATGCTATGGTTGGCGTGTGTGGATGAAGAAGCGCGGCACTCGCGCGGCCGTTGATAGGACATTGAAAAAAAACGCTAGTGGCTCCGTTTCTAAACAATATTTCAGATTCAGCTAAAAACTAATTTATTTCCGATATTTGTAATGATCTGAATTGGAGACAACATTTATTTAGTCACATATAATTTTGTTTGTTACAGAAACCACCGGTTTACTAACACCACCTGTGAACGATGTAAGCAAGCCGCCAAATGTTTTAGAACCTGCATCTACAAAACCACTTCCAGCCTCTGATACGTCAGCTACAAACACAACCAAATCTAAAGGCAAAGCAATAAGACATAGAAAACCATCTCATAAAAGACCAAGATATAGGCATAAAGGGTCAAAAGACCACAAGAGATCGAAGACCAGGTTACCAAAAGGACCAGAGGATTTAAGACACAGAAGACCAAAATATCAACACCATAAATTGCACAAAAAACCTATACATCGTGTTCCAAAACACATCAAACCTATTAATAGACACAAACGCATAAACAGAAGACATGATGATGATTATTATTAGACTGCTCAGTGGTCAGCAGGTCATTCTACTCCAGTCCATCAAAAGTCATGGGATTATGACGTTATATCCAAAATAATAAAGTTCAAGATGTAATAAGGAAAAACAGAAAACGATAGGTCGGCCTGCTGGCCACCGTAGTTGACGGAAATATGAGTTAATTAATTTCTGCAATCGACTTTGGCTGCGTTAGTCTAATCAATAGTAGCCTATATAATTATTACAGTCCATAATCTATCTCCATGCCAATTGATTATGAATCAGTAGTTTTTTAAGTGAAAGAGTATGATATTATATGCATACATTTTTAAAACTTTCGCATTTATAATATTGATAGGAATTAGTATTGTAACATTAATCGCAATATTAATACTGCATTGTCACAATAATCGCAGTATTAAAACTTCGATACTAATTCCTAATATCTACTTATTATTATTAAACGGTTTTATTTGCCTTGCCCTGATTGTTTGTTTTGAGCCTTTAGTAATTAGATTTTTACGCCCTACCTGACGACAGGTCGATCTGATAATTGTTTTTTTTTTCTTTCTTTAAAAAAATGCTAAATTTTGTGGGTGCGTTTACAAACGTACCAGTTTACACACACATGACACCCAGACCCAAAACAACAATTTGTGGATCACACAAAGAGTGGCTCTGTGCGGGAATCAAACTAGCTACACGTTGCGCGACAGCCTACTACCCAAGTCAAGTTGAAAAGAACTGTTCTAAGACGATACCACGAGTTAAATACTATTTCTGTATTGCGATCTCGTATTTAATAATTTTCATTAAAAAACATTACCACCAAAATATTAAACCTCGACACAGAACCCAACGTATTACAGAATACATTTACAATCAATCAAAAAGAAATTCTCAAGGAGAAAACGTAATATAAAAAATTTGAAATTCGTATCGGTTCGTTGTAATATTTCTCATTAAAATTAGCTTCTTTGTGGTAACCTTATTTGAATATTTCAAAGGGCTTAGTATGAATATGATTTGTGTTTAACGTGACCGACACGTTTATGACGTTTGCCGCTCTGATTGGCCTGTTCCAATGAACCAACCAATCAGAGAGTTGAAAGCAGTAACGTTTCGATCACGTCAAACGTAAAACCAATTCGTACTAGGCCCTACACAAACCTCCACGAGTACCCAGGTACTTGATTTGCGGATGTTCAATACATGAGTAACTTAGACTCGTGCTTGGGTGCGACGGTTCGAGAGATTTAAAGAGCGGTCTCACTGCAGCGACTTTTCCGTTATTTATCGAGTGCTCCAGCTTACGAGGATTTTTGTCGCAACGTTTAAATCCTCACGTTTCACCGTTATGACCTCAAGATATTTAAAAACAATAACTGAGCGTTCGTTTTGATTTATCGCTTGCTGTTGGTGTTTGTGAAAAATTTTTGCAGAGGAAAGGTAATTCTAAAAGTGTAGTTTAGTTTGTTCTGACGTTTTGTTTTGAGGGTTTTTTATGGGATAAGCCGGCAAACGAGCAGACGGATCACCTGATGGTAAGCATTCAGCGTCGCCCATGGACAGCGGAGGCGTTACAAGTGCATTACCGGCCTTGTGGGGATTAGGGATTTGAGGATTGTTGAGTATTCAGGGATTGGGAAGATGAAGATGAGGGTAATCGCGCCTCCACCTCACTCACATGAAGAAATACAACACAAGCTTTGTTTCATGTCGGTTTTCTGTGAGCCGTGGTATCTCTCCGGTCGAGACGGCCGATTCGTGTCGAAGCATGTCTCTCCCGCACGTTACCGCGTTAAGGGTAAAGAAGAATGGATGTTAAGTGAATTCTGGAGATACAAATGCATATTGCATCCAATACACTGATTCTCTACATATTATATCAATTCAGATTATATATGCTATATTAAATGTCAGAAATCATTAAGGAATTCAGAGAAACTGTTGTAGTGTGTTTGATTAAAAATAAAATAAAATCAATTAAAAAGACACAAAATATATGTCTGAAGTAAGCACAGCTCTTCGAAAACCAGGAAACTATAATTTTAAGACTACAAATAAAAAAAATCGCAACGCAAAAAAAAAATCTTGGAACCAACCTTTAACAACGCAAAATGAATTCCAAATTTTCTGTGTCTCAATTTGATAGCGTTTCGTATTAGCATTTCACTGTGTCTGCGTTGATTTCATATTAAATTTAAATCCGTGGTACGAGTTGAAAACTAGCCTTTATTTGCTGCGAGGAACGTGTCATTTTCCTATGACCTAACTAAATTAATTTCTCCAATACTTTTCATGTAGTATAATTCAAATATTTATTCGAATTAGTAATGTTTGTTATTCGTGTTTGTGATACGAATGAAGTACTAATTGGATTTATTATATTTCATTATTTGTCTCTTCTACAAAGCCGACCTAACATTAAAAATGTTTAAAACATAATCTATTATGTAGACTCGAATCATTTTTTGTTAGGCATGTTACTCACCTGTGCAGTTTTACCTGTACAGTTAGGTGTGTAGCCTGCATTAGGGGTAAAAAATTAATAAGATCTCCGCATTCAATTCGCTATTATTCAAATAAAGGAATTATAGGGAACAGAGAGTATAGTTCCCTGAAATCTGAAAAAAGAATCCTTCGACCAGGCGAGATGATGCTGCGGGTGACTGCTCAACAGCCTACGACGACGTGGTCTTCTCAACGTCTCCGGCTGGGGGTATGAGGACCTTCGATCCAGGCCGATGCTTGTCTATTGTCGATGGTGTTTCAGTCCCTGCATGCAACAGCAGGCGATGAGTTGAAGTAGTCTCTGTATGTCTCGATGTAGAGTCGTGTCCAGTGATTGGTGCCGCTAAGAGCTGCACTCGAGCCAGGACAGATCGGCGAGCAGCAAGCTGTTAGTGGCGCGTGGTTGAACAGTCATAATTATGATGGAATTTTCTATACATGTTATTCTGTGCGCAAACTCCACATGCGCGATGTATGTAGGATTTGTGTGACGTCGTCAGTAGATTTCACCGTGTCGAATTTTTCGTCACAAAATTAAACTTCAAAGTTAATTCTAAAAAATGGCTGTATTTATATTTATTTAAAAGCAATTCTTAACAGGAAAATTGCGCTGAGCAGCGGTAATTGAAGAGTTATTTAATTAAGAAACAGCTCGCCCACTTATAAGAAACCCCACTGTTAAATAAAATACTTTTTAAAAGGAACCAAAGATATTTTTCTTATGATCCGTTTTTTTGTGGCTCGAGGGCTGATTAGAGAAATCGTTTTCCATTAATGGACGACTTGATTTTAGACAATTTGTGTTGTGAATGAAACAATTTTGAAGGGTACAAGTTAATCTTGATTTTTTAACTGACTTCCCAAAAAGGATGGTTCTCAATTCAGCCAGTATAATTTTTTTGTTATGTAGTGACAATGACAATGTATTTTTTTTATCACTTAAAGCCAATTTGTTTGCTATCAAATAGAAAACTCGAATAGAAAAGCCGTTAACGCACCTGTGACTCCTCTGGTATTGTAGGAGTCCATAGGCGGTGCTGATCACTTATCATCAGGTGATTCGTCTGTTCGTTTGCCTTCTATTTAAAAAATACAAAACTAAAGTCTAAACCAGTGAAAAAGAATAAAATTTTTCTCAAGTGAAAGATAACGTTTCTAGTTTTAACTGCCGTTTATTATGACTAATCTAACTGTAGCTATCTTGATATTTCAAAAAATATTATATATCTTTCTGAGCCTAACAAGATTCATAACTGACCTTAAGTAATTTTTATAACACTTGGTATGATATTATGGCACAATACACAAATAAACAAATGAATAAAAAAATACTACAACATGAATAGTTCTGTATTAATCATCCAAGGACGTCTGTCCTATTTATAATTAAGCAATCACCAACAAAGACAGGAAAACGAGCTTAATTTAAACTATAAACAGCATTATTAATTTGTACTGGAATGTTTTCAGACGGTATATAACTCAAGGACATCCCCCTCCCCCCTTACGGCGTAAACTACATTTTGCTATACCCAAACAGTCTGTATTACCATATTACTCACGCAGTGTAATCTAAAACTGAATTAATTAATTCAAATTCGTAGCAGTTTCCTATCCAAAATAATTTGGTGTTATAATAAATGTACATAATTAGTGGAACAAGATTTTCCCTTATATTGTCGGCATGAAGCTCAACAGTTGTATATTGTTTTGTATTGTGTCTGAATAATATTCAATTTGGCATTTATACCTATCTATCTCTTTTGAGAATGTAGAGGAGGGCTGTCCAAACCTTTTTTTTACGTGTGGATATCCTCACGGTTAATCCTAGTGTGGGTTGCCCCACACTAGGATTTTCTCCTGTAGCGTGGGTGCGTTTATAAACATACAATATCACATACACATGACACCCAGACTCGAAACAACAATTTGTGGATCACACAAAGAGTTGCTCCGTGCAGGAATAGAAAACACTACACGGGAGACCCGTTATCCAGCCGCCGCAACAGCCGTGCAGTCTATAATAGTCTATAATAAATATAGGATAGTCCAGCGCTGGACTGTCTCAAGCAATTGATGATCAGAGTATGAAGAATACTAATTCGCCTTAAATATCACAAAGTACTAATTTACACGCCAGGGAAGAAGTGAAACAATGCAACAACTAAGATTCAAACTTGATACGGTAGTTATTACGGTGAACAGTGTTACGTAACTTCAGGCATTACACATTCAAGTTGCCTGCACTGGCTGATAACTGCCGGTAATTAACACTTAGACCTAAACGCTGTATCTTAACTTAGTCTTATCTCTGCACTACTACTATGAATAGGTACACTGTATAGTCACATTATTACATAGACAAACGGTGAAGGAAAACATCGTGAGGAAACCTGGGCTTATAATTTCTAATTATAAGTTTGTAATCGCCAACCCGCATTGAGCAAGCGTGGTGATTAAGTAATGCTCAAACCTTCTCCGTGTGGGAAGAGGCTTTGCTCAGCAGTGGGCATTTACAGACTGTTAATGATAGTCACATTATTTAGTATACAGGTTTTAAGTGTGGGAGAGCCATGCTTTGGCATGAATGGGCCGGTTCAACCGGAGTGATACCACGGCCGAGCAGGAAACGCAAGCGTTGTTTCACGTAGTGTGAGTGAGGTTAACGGAGGCCCAATTACCCCCCAACAATCGGCGGTATCCATCGGCGGCGCCGATTGCTTACCAAACATGTGATTTGTCTGCTCGTTTAGCGGTTTATGCCATAGAAAAGAGCATTTGTATATTTCGCACCTTTTTGGTCAAATTGTCGTGCTTTCGTCTAAGGTTGGACAAAAAGAAACTGAGTGTTCCTGACGTCACATCG